TGGACATTTTACTTTAAATTACACCCCTCAAATTCATTCACTTATGATCGGACTCCCAGCTAGGAAGTGATTTGTGAAGCAACTGCAAATAGGGCGTTTTGCCCCAACCCCAGGGCAAAACGCCCCACGGCCTGGGGCAAGAAGCCCCATACTCTAGATTAAAGATTAAACATGCTATTTGACTAAATCTTATATGAGAGGTCCGTTAGACCTTGGGAGGCACGGCACTGAAGTTAGCACCTTCCATCCTATCAGGTGTTCAGCTACGACACTATTGTATGAGCAGTTTTTTCACCTGCCTCAGAAGGCCAAATAATAAATTATTGCGATGCAAATGTTAACAAAATACTTCCTTTGCCATCCAGTTGCTGAGAAAAGTACATATAAATGCATAGAAACATGCCTTTCGCCAGCTACCGAACATTAGGAAGTGGGTAGTCCAAACAACACATGAGGTAAAACGCCCCATGGGGCTTTTTGCCCCGCGACCTACTGGGGCGTTTTACCCCATCACGTAGTTCGGTCAGAGAACAACGCCTTGCACTCCAGGAAGACATAATTTAACACGAACCAACCCGGCATTATAAGCGTTAGACAATAGTCGTTCAAAATACATAAAAGTCGTTAACCTGATGTGGACGATAAAAGAACGCCATGATGCATAATATGACAACAAAACATAAAAATCACTCCAAAAACACATTTTTGGCTATATCTCCCTAAAGCGTCATCACAATTTCTTTCCAGTCTGCTCATATAATGATCGTATAGTGCACGTTTTATAGAAGAGAGGATGTTTCCCCAGAACCTTGCCAGTTCCGAGAAACATCGGTGAGGCGTTTTACCTCGGCGGGGCGACTTGCCCCGGTCTACCCTACTAGAACAACACACCGCCCTTTGCCAGTCCTCAGAACAAACTGAAGTCGCTGGCAGAATGAGCCAGTTGCGGGTGACCACGATAATTAGCCCCTATTATCTGACATAGTAGAGCTGCCAGATTACCAATTGTTAATTCCCTGGAGGGATCTTCTGGTACTGTTAATTATAAATATAAAAGTTATTGGCGAAAATCGGGAGGAGGGGGGGGGCAGTTTCTGCCCTCCCCAAGCGGGGCGCGGGATAAGGAACAGTTTTGAATCGCTTCGATTCCTTTTTTTTTTTGCTCGGCCAGCCCACCGTGTTTTAACTCTGGCCAAAAACTGGCCAGGACGCGAAATATCGACTATTTTTTAACGTTTTCATTTGGCCACTATCGTGTTCAAAAATGATCAGAGCATCTTTAACGACGGAAAATTTTATTCCCTTAACTTTTGAAAACGTTGAAAATGTACAACAAAGTCAGACAATTCTCGAAAGCTAAACTTCGGCGAACAAACGCAGAAACAGTCGCCTTGCTTCACGTCAACATCTTCGAGCTTTGGATTGACAAAACTATATAATTTGGGTACCAAACGATAGCGCAAGCTTTTGGCTTTGTAATGAGTCATAATTTATATAATTATGATGCATATAGGTGTTACATTTATTGATTTCCGTCAGCCCTTACATTGGCACACTTTTTTCGAAAAATGTCAATGTTCTAATAGAGCTACAAAAAATTGTACGCTAGTGTACGGTCTCGGACTACCACCACACTGTGGGTCAAGGAGTTGTCTATATGTCCTCAAAATTTCAGCTGCGCCTGAGTGCGCCGGTGTTGGGGGTGAACACTTTTTTGAATGAGTCATGTCTGCTCCTGCTGAACCATGGGACGGTCGCTAGCGTGCGTCAAGGGAAAATGCTAGTACTCCTCGTTCATTCTCTCGTCTGTTGTGACGAGTTGGTGTCCCATGGAAGGTCGCCGACCTGTGTGCTACCTGCCGTACCCTGGGGCGTAATCAGCTGACGGCACGACCCCCTACGACACGTGCCAGCTGCATTTTCATGTGCCGCGAGAAGAAAACAAAGGGTCTCCGGAACCGGAGACCGGACATTGTCGGTGAATGACAGTTGTTCATTCAAAAACTGCTAGCATTCCTATGAAACATACATTTCGTAAATATCAACAGCATTATCGGTGTAATTAATTAAGTATAGTACCTATAGGTCTATAACAGGAACCTTCCACCCCATGGCTATTGCAGCAAATTCATAGATGGGCTCTGGAGCTGTATGGTCGCTACACATGCTTCCTTGATAGCTTATAAACATATTTTAGTACCTGATGAAGCGCAATTAAATATTCATTGTGCCCAGTTTAAGATGGGACTGTGAGCTGAAAGGTGACTGTATGAGACCTGCCACAGACCGCTGATCACGATGATCGGCTTTTGGTCGTCCATTACTTGTTTGCCTTCGGCAGGGTTACCATCGGCCTCTTCAGTCAGTATTACTACTTCGATGTACTTCGATGTAGGTGGTATGGTATCATTAGTGCTGTCCGCCTTTATGAAAAAGCATCAGTTTGCTGCAGTAAGCGTCAGTTAGTATGGCAATGGGGTGCTTTTACATGCACGTTGTATGCTACATAACTCACCATACAATAGGAATTGGTAAAAAGTTTTGGGATGCATTCTACCATTTCACGTCATGCGATGGCGGATCCAGTGAAGGGCATAGTGGGCATTTGCCCTCCCCATAGCTGAATAGTGTCGGCAAGACTATCCTTTTGCCGCTCCCAAAGCTGTTGGTGATGAGAAATATAATACAGCGTCGATGCCTATCTAGACGAAAAGCAGGTCTTTTTGTCACAATCATTTTGAGGGATGGAGCTGACCGCTCACTGCTCATTGTTTAGGTCGGTATGCTGATAACAGATGGAACTCCCTGAACTGCACACATGCAGATTGCAGACGTAGTGAAGCGTTGTAAAGTCACCGGCGCGGCGATGGGTTGAGGTCACCGAATGGGTCGGAAACTTTTGCCCTCTCCAAACGGATTAGCTGGATCCGCCCCTGACGTCATGTGACGTAAAACATACAGGACTCTGGACTTACTTAAGTGGAGACAGGGTCTAACATCAAGTTGATATAAAAAAATACGTTTGAAAATGTTTTTTTTTATAAATATAAAGATTGTAGGTCCTATATGAATAAGTCCTATGTATATAAGAGCATTCAAGGTCATCTGAGGTCATCAACGCTAATTGGTCATATCCTCAACCTTGACTTGCCTCGTCGATGAGCCTTGCTCAGACTTACGATTACTACAAATTTACAGATACCTAAATGCTCGTGCATTCATAGCTAGAATATGACACAATATTTGCACCTATATGTTTCGTGACACTTATGACGTCATAAACAAGTACACAAGCATCTGGTCCGACACATTTTGCATTTTAAATGATCGTTAGTCTCCAACGTTTCGTTTGAGCCCAAAAACACGTCTGTACCTCATATAGTTTCTTAGTTACGAGCCCTGGCCGGTTTTGATCCCGAGTTAAAACATAGTGCAGCCTAGCGCCAGTCTCGAGCGGTGGGACAGTTAAACCGGCAATTTTGGCCGGGATGCAAAACTTACGTTAAACCGGCTTATGTTAACCCGGGAGCAAAACAACGTGGGAGCCTATCTTAGGTGTGGCAAAGCTAACGGAGGTGTGGCATCTCCGTTATCTTAGGTGTGGCAAAGAATACTTGTTGCCGAAGTGCCGAAAGAAGGTGCTGGAACCGAAAACACAACATCACATTTATTGCTGTTCTAAAGAACAATCCGAACGGCAAGGATGAGTCGCCACCGCTCAGTAGGGAACACTCTAAACAGCTACGAGTGGAGACTGCATTGTAACACAAGAAGGCAGCACGAGAACGCAGCGCAGACTGAGGCAGTAGCACCTCGGTAACCGCATTCGCGAATAGGCCGCTAACACCGCGGTAACTTAGATTTGTTACCATTCACACTACATAGATACAGTTACACGATACATACACTCTAGAATAACACGATACACCCTAGCACCGATCTACGCCGCGCACGAGGTACGGTGCCAGGTCTGGATCATCCAGAGGGTCGCGGCTCCGCGGAAGGTCTTGTGCAGCAAAATACGCCCTCATTTCCTCGTATATTTGTCTGTATCTCGCCAGGCGAGCTGAGATGGGGCTGTTGGCGGACTTTGGAGGCGACGGACACGGGTCTCCGGCAGTCTCCGCCTTCTCTCGCTGCACAAACACAACATTGGTTCATGTATTTATTAACATTCATACACACAGTCATACTTGTGCAAGGTGTCAGTGTTCGGTTGTGGGGTGTAATAGCCAGGGAAAAAGTTCTATGAACTGAAAAACCCGGCGCCTATTGCAAAGGGAAAAACCCCGCGCTGAAGCCAAAATAGCGCGGGGAAAAAACCTGTATCGTTTAAGCTAATGTAGCTTCAGCCTCCAGTCGGTGTTGGCGCTACGACGGTTAGTGTTTGCACGGGGCCTTTACCGGAGCGCGCAATATGGAGACCGCCTATGCAAGGAGGGATAAGAAGAGGGACAGGGAGGTGACTCCGCGCGAGAAGGGCGCCCGGAGGCCAAGCAGGAAAAGCTAAGCCCCCAGTCGGTGTTGACGCTCAACGATCTCGGCCCAATCGACGTGATCGGAGCGCGCAATGTGGAGTCACCTAAGTGTTCGCGGTGCCGCGCCTCCGCCGCCGTTAGCGCGCGTGTAAATCACAGGTGATTAGGCGAGATGGACGATTCAACGGAGCAATTAGTGCGAATGAGAAGCGGTGGGGGAACAACATCGAACGATAATCACAAAAATCACAAGAACAACATCAACAGCAAGAATGGAAGATCAATCATTAGCACGTACAATCAACGGCGCGGCGGAGAGAAAATGGCGTAGAAGAATGTAGGAGAGGAGGAAGTTTCTGGCACTAGGCCAGGCCGGGGGTTGAAGTTCGTGGAGAAGTTGCGCGTCCTTGAGAAATGCGAAGAGTTTTTCGAGGAGAAGTGGATGGTCGTCTCCCAGGAGAGTGGGGAGATCCAGATGTCATCTGTGCTTAAAAAGACAAAGACGAGACGATTAGATGGCTCTGATAAGAGCCATTGACATGTGCCAGCGGAATGGTCAGGCACATCGTTCACTTCTTAGCCGGGGCCTTTTTGGCGGCAGGCTTTTTGGCAGCCGTCTTTTTGGGCTTCGGTGCCTTGGGCTTCTTCGCCGGCGACTTGGCCTTCTTTGCTTTGGTTGGCTTGGCCTTGGGCTTCTGGGCCTTGGCGGGAGACTTGGCGGTCTTCTTTTTGTCCGCCGACTTTTTGGGAGCAGTCTTCTTTGGTGTCTTTTTCGCGGCCACCGGCTTCTTAGGCGACTTTGCGGCGGGCTTGGCCGGCTTGGCAGCAGCGGAAGACAGCTTGAACGATCCGCTGGCACCCTTGCCTTTAGCCTGCACCAGGGCGCCGCTGGTGGCGCCAGTCTTGAGAGCCTTTTTGATGAACGGCGCCAGCTTTTCAACGTCGACCTTGTAGTTCGCTGCAATGTACAGTATATCTAAAAAGTATGTCCCCTGGTTTGGCTCTCCCACAGGAGGCGAATCGGTAACTTGGCTGAATCCCAGTTGCGGCACCCGGCCGCCAGGGTCGCTGTCGCGCGAGCGGCCTTGACCGCTCGCATGTCATTGGCAGTTCGGTCCCTCCCCATCTATACCGAGGTGGGGAGGGGGAGAAGAGGGGAAGAGAGGGGAGGGAGCGGCATCCGCTCGGCACTGGGCGATACCTGGCTGACCCCGCGCTCCCTCGCTGACCTTTGTCCTGCCCTCAGGCGAAGCCCGACTTCCTGGCCTATAGTGGCCGAGCGGAAAACTGAGCTCGCGGGGCGCGACTCCATTGGCCCAATCTTATAAATGGAATGCTGTCGTATTCACGGCATTAGATAATTACGGAGCGAGCGAAGCGAGCGGAGTCTCATACTGAATTAAGGGAAAATCCTGAGTATGAGCGGCCGGCCGGCCGTGGGGACGCTCTTCAAAAGCTAATATCTTAGGAACGGGACATCCGATTGACAAGCGGTCTTCTTTACTGAATGTCACTTGGACGTAAAAGTTCTGTGGTGTGATGGCCACCATGCGTTCTTGCCAACCACCGCACGTGGCGCGTGGTAAAGTTGGACATTTTTTAAGAACCCCCAAAATTGCAACCTCAATAACGGCACAACGGTTGGGCCGATTGAATTGGAACTCGGTACACAGTTAGGTCTTCATCAGATAATTCATCTGCATGTGTTCAGGTTGGGGTGCTACAGCACGTGCGCACGTGCAGGGGGTGCTCCCAGATCTCGAGAACGGCTGGGCCGATTGCGCTCAAATTTGGTACACGGTTGGGGACCAGTTAGTAGGGTGCCGTGCAAAAGTCAGTTTGGACCCCGCTTGCACGTGCGCACGTGCAGTGTGCCGCTTCCAGATCTCGAGAACGGCTAGGCCGATTGCGCTGAAATTTGGCACATCGCTAAAGACCGGTTAGTAGAGTGCAGTGCACAAGTTAGTTGGAGGTACCCCCTCGCAATTTCGCACGTGCAAGGCCCATCCTCTCGCTCGCTCCGTTGGTCGCCCAAAAGGCGTTTTACTGGTATTAATGGTGATGCCAGCAGTGGATGTGGTAAAATACAGTCCAAAATAAACGAAAGCACACGATTCGTGCATAATGCGCCCTCCCATTCAAATAAGCCCGCCCACTTCGATAGATGGTGTAGTTTCTTAGGGCGTAAAAGATGCAAAACACTGCCGATTTTTTTTTTTAGCTCGGCCACTGGGACCGACAATATACAATTGACTGAAATGCATGAAAACCATTTTGCATTTAGGTAATAGCCGTTTTCTGCACCCAAACTTCAGCCAATGACGCCCTGTCCATTCTAAAGCGTTTATAAGATTGGTCCCAGCACCCGATTTTATATGAGGAAGTCGTTTAAAAGCATCTTATTTCTAACGAATTTATTATTATGGCCACTTTTACAGGACGTCTATAGAGCTTTGACTTTTACATTTCTTCCTCGTTCAGGAGAAACGTTTTAACCCTCACCGGACCTTCAGGTTTTCTGAATACCGAGGGGACGTTGGGGGTTGGAAGTGAGGAAACAACCCCCTTCGCCGATTCGCCCCTAATTGAGCTAGAGCCTCACGAAAGAAACGATCGTGTGCGTCGTTACGAAATGTAGCGATTGGTCTCCGATTTAAGGACCAGGGTCAGCCGATGACTTCGGAGGTCAGGTCAAGTGGCCCAAGGCACAGGTTCGGTTTTTGGTAAATAACTTCGCTAAAAATGATCGCAGATCCACGATTTTAGCAGCATCGTGTTTGTCTAGCTCAGGCGTGTCGAATGGTATACTTTTTCTTCGGGTGAGATCAACTTAACCCTTGCCCGTATAGAGGGGGGGGTAGAACGGACCCCCTCCCTCGGTTTTTCGCGAATAACTCGCGTAAAAAGCGGCCGATCGCGACGAAACTTTCAGTACCCTCGCGTTAATCAATTTTACACCCATCCTGAAATTGTCATGACCCTGACCTTAATGACCTTTGACCTGCGACCTACTTTTCGAGACCATGTTTGGCCAGAATCGCGATTCGGCGTATGTAGGCTCGCATTAGCGGCGCGTTTGCAGTCTTTTCGTGATTTTAAGCGTTCAAACATGGGATATGATGTTGCTTCCATGCATTAGGGTGGGTGTCAAGGTCACCGGAAAGTCAGGTCAGGTCATTGACCTTTGATGACCTCGGTTCACTTTTTCGAGTTTTACATGTTTCTAGGCCAGTTTTAGGGGCTGTATTCGAATTTAGCAGCCATATGAACATTTACGAAGTAGTTTTGGTGCCCTCGTAACATGTTGCGAAGCTGTCAGAGGCGGTTGCCACCTACTACGAATACCCTTACTGGTTGACCTGACCTGACCTGACCCGACCTGGCCTAAATGCATGAAGACATCATCTGTGATCAAAACTAACATGATATTCGTGATCAGCACCCCGAAAACCCCATAGCAGCCACGCTTTACGACTTTCTAACAGGTCCCGATTTTCCCGACTTTTGGGTCATTGACCTGACCTGGAAAGTCAACCGATGACCTAGAACCTTAAAATTGGGTATCATCGACTTCCTCTCGTCACGGCCAACACGCTCGTTTTTTCCGCGAAGCTCTAGCTCGATCAGGGGCGAAACGGCAAGGGGGGTCCAACGGACCCCCCCCCCCCTTATACGTTTGCGGCTGGAAAAACACCAATACGGGCGAGAGTTAAGGTGTTAACCTCGGGTCAAGGTCAGGTCACAGCCCGTCAGGTCACGAAACTGGTCAAAGGAGGTCATATTGCATATCAATCGATTCGGCAGGTCTTTTCATGTCCAGTCTGTCTTGAAAGTACCGCAGCATGGCGGGGTGGCGCTGGTGATCCGGCGCGGCGGAGGGCGGTCAGGTTTGAGGGCCACTGAATCGCCTGACCCTTGGGGAAGGGAGGGGAGGGAGGGAGGAGAGGGGTGGGCGCGAGTAAGCGGGCTCTCGGTGCTACCAGTGCGGCAGACAAGGCGCTCTTTTATGAATACTACAGAGACACCAGCTAAGCGTAGTAATTCTCTTCCTGACATGAAGTTTTGATAAATGGGAAGTGAAGCTTCCCTTTCGAGCCTCGCCAGACATTTATGTGTTTCGCATGTAATCCGGCCAAAGGGCAGCGTGTGCGGTCTCCGTCGTTTCGCTCAGATTAAACTAGGCCTTCCAGAAAGTTGTGTGCGTGGTTACGAGACACATTGACTGGTAACTAATTTTAATATTGCCAGTATTGGCCGCTTTGTAGCGCTTACTGATGGAAATGGTCCGTACTCCGTAGGGACCCGCCTTACAGCCGTTCGGCTCCTGATCGGACATGTGAAATGATCAGGTCGGCCCTGATCATTTCGCCTGCAGGGACCTGATAGTGCCAATCACAAAATGCCTGGAAACGCGTAGATAATATGCGCTGACATGCATGGAATCGGCATTTTGGCCTGACATGGTATCGAGAAAGAGGTTAGAGGTCAAAGGCTATTGGGTTCAGGGTCATTATATTTTTAGGAAAGATAAAGCATTGATCAATTCCGGGATATTGAAAGTTTTGCCATGGTCGGTCGGTCGGTCGGTCGGTCGCTTTTTACGCGAGTTATTCGTGAAAAAGCCGTGAGGGGCGCATCGGTTCGACCTCCCTCTGTAAGTGTGAAGGTTAAGAGCTCAGGTCAACCGGTGACCTCTCGAGCATTCTTCAGTGTCGGCGAGCATTATAACTTTTCCTGAGGCTAGGACACTATAACGTAACCTAAGTGAGACCCGACCTTGAAGATCTGGGTCTGATTCATTCCGCCATCACAAGTGTTTAAAAAAGATGCAATATCAGGTATGGGTGGAGGCATGTCGCAGCCCCCCCCCCCCCAACGCAGCAGTGTGCAGAGAGCCTGCTTTGTTAAGGCCTGCTGATCGGCTCCGACTCCGACTCTGGCTCCGGACCAGTGCACTGCCATAAGCATAAACTATCACTTGCAGGCACGGGGAATGACGCAACTCTTCCGGACTGCTTTGGTAGCTATTATTGTAGACTCTGCAACATTTGTTGGAGTCTGCTAACATTTTCAGCATCATGGAGGAGGAGGGAGAGGGAGAGGGAGAGGGAGAGGGAGAGGGAGAGGGAGAGAGAAACAGAGGGAGGGAGAGAGAGAGGGAGAGAGAGAGAAGCAGAGGGAGGGAGAGAGAGAGAGGGAGAGAGAGAAAGAGAGGAGAGAGAGAGAGAGAGAGAGAGAGAGAGAGAGAGAGAGAGAGAGAGAGAGAGAGAGAGAGAGAGAGAGAGAGAGAGAGAGAAGAGTTTTGATAGATCGTTAAACGAATAAAATTCACACCAAACAGCCTCGTATGATCTCAACTCTCATCTTGAACTGAACAATGAACAGTGAGCACTCAGGAACTGAAAGATTAATATGTCGCTACATGTTAATACCCATAATCTCAGTGACCTTCCGCATAAATCTGCATACTTCGTGTTTGGTATACGATTATCAAAGTCATCGTATCCTCTACTGGAAGTAGGCGCTACGAACATTTGCTTGGCCAGTCGATCGTAAAATGCAAATATTTGCCTATAACTTATATGGATAGGAAACAAAGGAGTATAATGTGTTAGTTATTTTATGATGTTTTTATGTAGCAGCCATTGACCTTCTATAGTATGAATGGTTCGAAACGTTTTTTCTTTCGGCATGATAATGATTATACTTGTAATAAGGTGGAATCTTTGGCACATAAATAAAGACAAAAAACACCCAAGTGTAGGATTTGCTTTGGCTTCCTTTAGTTTATGAGCAAAGGTTACCATTCCATCTTACTTCCATTAGCTTTCGCTTAAATACTATTGTGCTTCAATCTCAACAAGGGTGGTGAGAATGGGATTTCTTTTTTATCTCGCATAAAAAAATACGCAACAAATTACTTTATCCTAAGTTATGGATCAATCGATCAGATCTAAACCCATCGAGATTTTCGACAAAACTACTGCGTTGACATTTATGTTGTTATTCACATTATTATTTAGTTTTATTACATTTATTCTGTTCCGTTCCATGACCGTAAATTATTGTTCAATATGTGTCATGTTCTGATAACAATGCAAGCAGTCGCGCTCATCCTTTAGAATGGCTACGTCTGTCTTTTCGTGACTTCGTCTAGAATAAAACGGTTCCAAGGGTGATCCGGTCACCGAGGGATCGGCCGGGCCGGTCAAGTTCTCCACTCGTGCTCGCGGACGGCCGTGCCCCCGGGCGACAGGCGCCGCAGCGGGGTGGAAAGAGTAAGGGAGAGCGGCACCCCACGCGACCTGCCCGGTCACTCTCTCCTGGCTCACTGCCGTCACGTGCTCTGGGGCTCTCAAACCACCGAGCTCCCGACCTTTAGTTCGCCGGGCGGCCGCAGCCCATGCTGCGGTACTTTCAAGACAGACTGTCCATTAGTGGCTTTATCGACTCGGTAGCTTTAGTTGATCGGGAGTTATTGACGAAAAACTGATAGCCTTAGTTACGTGATAAATGACGTCACGCAAGATCAACAAAGCAAAATTGAAGCATCAGACCTTGCAAGGAGCACATGAAATCACGATTCCGTGTGCTTGAGCATTTGAGATAGTTGTATATCATTTCCGGACCAAACTAGCAATTTCCATATTCCCCTGACTTCTAATGGTGAGAGACTGACCTGATCTCAGGCGACCCTTCAGAAAATCCGAGATATACATTTATACAAGCTGTGAGACCTCTCGATCATACTATAAGATCCTGTAAGTTTCATCTCCCTATGAAAGCTCTGCACTGAGGGTGTTGCGAAGTTGGAACATTTTAGGACTGTGCACACAGTCCTAAAATGTTGAGGACAGTTTAGGACAGTTTCACACAGTTCATTTTAGGACTGCTCATTTATGACGTCATAGATCAGTGACCTGACTTGACTTAAAAATGCGGTTGGCGTAAAAAAATCCGACTCATCAAATCCCGACTAAAAAAATCGACTTTTAATCCGGTTAATCAAATCCCGACCATGTTTTTACCTGGCCATTAATGTTCTAGCCTTACAGGTGATTGTTTGAACGCGGAAGATGCTGAATCTTGGTTAACCCCATACTTATCGTATGATAAAGAACGTCAGTGTTAGAAAGTTAATTAACAATTTTATTTAGGATAGTTTAATTCAAGTGGGTATAATCCGACTTGACAATTTACTAGGAGGGTTTTGCAGTGCTATTAGTTCGGCATTTAATTATAAATCATTGCTAATTTCGATCTGGATATCGTTATTCAATGCTGGCCTTTGCGTCCTCGGAAAGTTGTTTATAGTCATGAAGGCTTGCATTGACCCATACTTTCCATTTTTCAGCACTATTATTCGCCGTAGTTGACCAGGTGTTTTTCTTCAGCTCTCCCCTGAATCCTTTGGCTTAGACCTGGCGTATCACCCGTGCATCGCAAGACGCACCTACCACACACAAGTTCATGATCCCCACGAACCCACATTGACATCAGCGTCCGTTCGCTTGGTGTGTGACCCCTTGACCTTTGGCCGCGACAACTGCCAGCTTGCTGGAGCACCCCTCCCTACACGCGCTGCCCCGCCCGCTCCCCTCCCTCCCCCCCCCCCCCCGGGGTCGTGTCACGAAGGTTCGGGCTTACGCTACTACCGGCCGCTGCGCAGCTGTCACCTAGCGCTTGGGAATGTGTGGTCTGGTGCGGATTCAGCCAACTACCGGCTCGCGACACCAGCGCCATGTAGTGGCGACGGTACATTCTTTTTAGACACACTGTACTTCCTGATGGCGATCAGCGACGAGCCTCCTCGCTCCTTCAGACCTTTGATGGCTCCCTGGACCATCTCGTTGGTGGGCGGGAGCGTCGGCTTGGTGCGAGGCACCTTTGCCTTGGCCGCCTTGGCGGCGCCAGCAGCAGGGGCGGTGGCAGCGGTAGACTCGGTCATCTTTTTCTGGCGTCAGGTATCGTCAGCCTGAATAGTCGCTTTTTTTAATTTTTGCGCTTACTGGAAAGCCAGAGAGCTGCCATAGACGATTCAGTCCGGACAAACACGACTGACGCAACAGTTTACTGATAACCGGCAGCCTGATCTCGACAATGGTGACATTTGTTTGCGCCCTAATGCTTCCAGGGACTCGTTGCGGTGAGCAGTCACGCACGCTGTGGTGGCGCCAACACTTTTCTTCTTCCCTTTGGCAGCCGTCGATTTGGAGTAGACCACTACGTCGAGCGCAGTCAGGTTGTTTTTCAAGTTACTGTTGGCGAGCTGCTGCAGTGATCCGGCGACGTGGCATCATTTCATCGGCACAAATATACAAGCAGCGATGACCGGCTGACGAACGGAGCCAACGGGATCTACAACGCATCGATTGCGCTCCTTTCAAGCTACAAATGTCTGCAAACGGACGACAAACCTGGCTCGCAGCTGTCGTTTTCAAGGATGACTTTTGAAAAAGCAAGCAAGCTCAGCAAACTTAGCCCCTTCCTTGAAGACGGCATCATCCGAGTCGGCGGAAGACTGCAACATTCAGCTCTTGAATATGATGCTAAGCATCCAGTCATTCTCCCGAGTCATGCGAGCTATGTGAAGCTACTTGTCGAGGACGTCCACAGACGAACAGGACATGCTGGCCGACAGCACGTTTTGGCAGAACTAAGGAAGAGGTTCTGGATTTTGAAGAGCACATCGGCTGTCGAGAGAGTGCTTAACCCTATTCCTGGCGGGCTCCGCCGGGACAAGAAACTGGCGGGGGGGGGCCGATTCGGCCCCCCCCCCCTGAGATCTCGAGAACGAAGCAAGATAGCGACAAACGGTAAACGGCATCGGATACGCACGGTCAAGATCTACAATTTTTACTAAGGTCATTTTCAGGTCAGGTCAAAGATGACGTCACAGGGGTCGAAAAAGTCAAAATGGCGGCGCTAGATATGGAGAGAGTTTTTCTCGAATAACTTTCGAATTAGTCAAGATAGGAACAAACTAAGGGCATCATCGTGATCCTCTCGTCAATCCGCATCGAATGATATATATGTTGACCTCGCAAGGTCAAGGTCAAAGGTTGACCTCAGGTCACGTGACCTCGAGGTCATCATGTATATCATTCGATGCGTCTTGACGAGCTGAACACAATGAGACCATCCACGCGTCTGTATCTTGTTCCTGTACGGAGTTATTGGCCAAAAACCTTTGGTGACCTTTGATGACGTCACATGACCTCACAGCTGCCCAACAGCAAAACAGACCTCAAGGTAGTGAAGGTTGATCGTATATGAAGTCATGTATGGTATATGGGGCCATTCCGATCCGTTTTAGTGGTAAAAACAGGGAGTTGATTTTTCCCCCATTGACTTATAATGGGGAGGTCGCGAAACTGACCTGACCTTAGGTCACCGATATCAAAATTCCGAGATATACAAATTGCACATACTGGTACCCTAACTAAAGCCTGAAGAGAAGAAATTGATCGGTCAAAAACTCTAGCTCTGGCGTGATTGCAAACTTTTCTGAGGTAGGGTCACCAAACCGCCTCTGGTGACCTGACCTGAGGTCAGATCAACTCAAAATTTTCAGACATGTTGCGTAGAAGCCTTTTAGGAAAAGTCAGAAAAATTGAGCTTCCTAGCTCAACGCGTTTGGGAGAAATAACCAAAAAACCTCAGGGGGGGGCTCCTGAGGCCCCCCGCCAGGAATAGGGTTAAATCGTGCTTCATCTGCAAGCGGCTACGTGCGAAAACGGAAAAACAAAAGATGGCAATTCTTCCAGGCGACAGGATCACAGCGAGGGAGCGACCGTTTACAAGAACTGGGGTAGACTACTTTGGACCCTTCTACGTCAGCCAAGGTCGAGGACAAGTTAAGCGATATGGTGTTATTTTCACCTGCCTATCAGTGCGCTGCATACATGTTGAAGTGGCTGAGGATCTGTCATCGGACTCGTTCATCTGTGCGCTGAAAAGATTTGTAGCTAGAAGAGGGAACGTCAAGACCCTGAGATCAGATCGAGCAACAAACTTTTGGAGCCCACAGAGAACTACGTGAAGAGCTGAAGCGGCTGGAGGAAAAGGAAGAGTGGGTGGCAAAGGAGATGCTAGCCAACGACATTGACTGGAAGTTCAACACTCCAGCAGCGTCTCATCATGGTGGAGCCTGGGAACGAATGATTAGAACAGTTAGACGGATTCTGGACACGATGCTCCACGCGAAAACACTGAAGAATGAGACGCTGCAAACGTTCCTGTGTGAAGCCGAGGCGATAGTGAACAGCCGGCCTCTGGTCTCGCCATCGAGTGACCCCCTCGATGCTCCGCCCCTCACTTCAAACGACATACTCTTACTCGGGGCCAGTTCCGGAACGACACCCTTGAATGTCTTCTCTGCATCTGACAATGACAAACGGAAAATGTGGAAACAGGCGAGCTATATGGCAGATGTGTTCTGGAAGCGCTGGCGTCGAGAGTACGTTCCACTGCTCCAGCAGCGGTCCACCAGCACCGCTACGGCCAGGCAAAACCTGGCTGTGGGCGATTTGGTATTGATGGTTGATGACAGTGTGCCACGGGGCCAATGGCCCATCGTTAGGGTCGAGTCAGTCAAGATGTCAAAGGACGGCTTAGTGAGATCGGTGACTCTGAACATCAGAGGTGTTACAGTGCAGCGTCCGATTACCAAACTTGTGAAAATGTAATAAATGCTGTGTATGAGTACTGTGTATATTGCTACACTACGTCATGTCGTAGGTACCTTGCGAATGTAAATGTTGAAAGTTCTTTCAAGGGGAGGGTGTTGAATATTCTAACGAGAGCGCTCCCGGAAATGGTCACGCGAGCGAAGTGTTTTAATTGTTGTAAATATTTTGATTGAAGAAAGGTCAAGGTTTTAGTTCGTTAGTAAGGAGGACATAAACTTCGTAACGGGGGAAAATATTAAGAAAATAGCAAATGTGAAACATTTAAGAGAAATATTCATATAATATAGACAGTGCATATTACTATAAGGAATTGCTGGTGACCACGATTGAAACGGTAATGTTTTGCGTTAAGATACCGCCTATGAGAGTGTCACTCAAGCAATAAAACCCGTTGAAGATGTCCTTTCTTTCTCTATGACTCAAGAAGACTCCAACTACAAGAAAATATAACAAGGCATATCGTTATATTCTTCACGTAAAATCAAACGTTTCGTCTCTGAACAAAGACATCAGTGAAGTTACACAGAACAGTACATATTATGACACTAGGAGAGCCCCAACTGTTCCGTGACGGCGCCGGTTTGTTTCTTCAGGAGCTGAATGAGCATTTTCTTGGTGATCTTGCCGTTCCCACCATGCAAAACATCTGCAAGTCCTCAGGACTTATTGATGATCACATATTCTTAAGATCTGGTGACACCCTATGGCGTAATGTGACGCATAATGGTACCATTTTTGTAATTTGGGTTATTCTCACAAACTTGTGCGAACAGGTCCCGGAACGCTTGCTGACTTACCGGCGCAAGTGACAGTGAGTGAGTGCGTACTGTACGAAATAATCACAGAAACACATTCTATCCCTGGTCTGTGGTCAATAGTCATCACTGGGTAGGCATCATGGTTTTCTCAGGTGGATTGTGATGGAACTACTTACTGGTGATATTGTAAAAGTTATTTTTAGTGCATGTTCATTTGTTGTAACTTCATCACAATTCACATTGCCCTATTTCCAGTGTTGACATATTATATATTCACGTCAACAGTCAACACTCAATTTATATTTGCAACGAAGTACCTGGAACAGTTGGTATTGAATATTTTATCTAGTCACCTGACAGGGGTGAAGCTGTCAACGTCATCATGTTTGACTTTTCATGCGGATCTATGATCTCATTGGATCTCTGACAAAATGGAGGAGTCGGATCTATGATCTGAGTGGATCCCGATCCAAATCCATGGGATCAGATCTCAGATCCATTTTCCCGGATCCATGCACATGTCTGACTGAAAATATGGTTGTCATAATTTGAATCGAATCATACATTTGTTGTCACGTTGAGTCATGAGTCAAATCATGTTTTTCATGTTTGAGTCATGAGTCGAATCGAATCATATATTTTTGTCATGCTTGAGTCATGAGTTGAGTTGAATCATTTCAATTGAGAAATTTTGAATCAGAGTCGAGTCGATTCAATTTTAGAAAAATCTCTTCATAATCGACTCACCAAAAATTTGAGTCGCAAACATCCCTGCTCTGAAGCACAGTGCCGCCCTAAAGTCATAGTGCCGCGCTCCACAGTCTTCGTTAAGCTCCTTGAAGTCATTGCGACGCCCTCTGAAGTCATAGCGCCGCCCTCGGAAGTCAGTGCCGCCCTCTGAAGTCATAGCGTCGCCCTCCAGTCTTCGTGAAGGTCCGACTGGGTGGGAAAATTCTCGTACGAGAATTTTCCCACCCAGTCGGAGTAAATAAGGCGCTTCAAATATTATCCAGCATAAAATTAGTTGTTGAACCCGGTGTCAGACGAATTTGCTGTTTCACTTTCTCATTTTGGCACCAGTGTTTACACGGCCAATAGCCATTCGTCCAATATAGTAGGGCAGGTCATCAAGTGGCTATTAATATGTTGGAAAGGGGAGGAGGCCAAACATGGGAATTAAGACGGGGTCCTATCTTAACTTTAGGGGCCCCAGTGGTAACCTACTTTACCCGAGCCCGGGTGCGGTTCCTAGCCAACTTTGCCAATTTTTCCCCTCGCATCCGGGCGCATAACTCGTGAACCGTAAGTGTTACAGCGTCACGGAACAATGCATTTGATAGATCCTTGGAAGCTCCCTCTGCGTTGTCCTTAGATTCGAGCTCAGTTCAACAATTTGGCCCACACTGAGAGCAAAAACTGCCAAAATAGACGGATCTTGCAGAAGCATTTGTTCCATTTCTTTACGTATATCTACTCACTTCACGTATGGTAGGCACAGTTTTTACCGTAATTATGTCTCTCGTATCGAGAGGCGTTAAATTATCTATAGTAGGACCTATAGTCCTATGAC